CCTGGGTGAAGGAGTGGAACATTTAATGATCCTACGTTCCGACCCGATTTTTCTCGAGGACATAATCCACCAACGCAGTGGTGGAACAGCTTCATGTTAAAGGCAAAGTTCGGGCTCAGACCCAAACTTTGCCTTTAACATGACTTAGTGAGCCTTTACTGTGGCTAGAAGCGCTAGGTACGCAAGTGCAGAGGTCGCGTCACTTCCCTACTTCGAAAAGCGTTATTTAGACGCTAGGCGCTAAGAACTTTGACACGCTCCACCTGTTGCGACACGCTCCGCCCACCGCTCGATATCTTGTCTGCGTCGCTAACTTGATCTGCTATGCTCTCTATACTCGTACACCCCAAAGGTCCAGTATCTGTGATTTACGAAACTCATTTGAAACCTCATTTCATCCACCCGCTCTTCTTGGGCAAGGTGGGCAATATGAGCGCGTCCTCAACCACAACTCGCATCCGTTCTTCCTTCTTTGAGCTCTCACACCATATCTTCAACGTAGCACTTCGAGAACACTGTATCACGCGTAAGTTGAGCCAGCACACAGAGAATTCGAGTTGCGAATTTCCCGTGTCTCCACACGTTTGAATGGTATGACCCAATATATGTTCGGCAGCAAGCTCCGCCCATTTCGGTGCTCGCCCCGCCCACCAGCGTGACTTTTCTTCCTCTCTTCCCTCTCTCATTTTCATTCGGTCTCTGCAACGATTGTGGATCGAGCTACGCTTTTGGTTGAAAACTCTCCCCGCTTTAGTGCACGCTTCACTCACCAAGAGAGCTGGCCTTCCCTCCGTTAACCTCTTTCCACTTTTCCCCTCTCCGAGACTTCTTGGAACCCAGCTATAATACAGGTAGCAAACTCCGCCCACTTTGGTGTAAGCTCCACCCAGCAAAAGCTTATCCACTCTCCTTCGTCAACAATTCCCCCTTCTGCCATTTTTGGAACTGCTCTTGACCGAATAATATGTCTGGCAGTAAATTCTGGCCATCTAGTTGCACGCCTGTAGCAGCACTTGACCGCTTCTTCTCTGCCAACCTCGTTCTACTTTTTTCCCGTTTTCTGGAACTACTCTGGATCGTATTATGATTTTGAAAAACCGTCTACTTTGGTGCCAGCTCCGTCCACCAAAAGCAGTTGGCGTTCTTGTTCCCTAGCTTAAAGCTTTAGCACCTTTCCTTCTCATTCGTACTTCTTGGAACGGAGCTTCAAGCTAGGCAGCAAACTCCGCCCACTCGGGTGCATGCCCGCCCATTGTGGGCGGGCCTCCGCCCACGTCATGTATGCTGGAAACACCTTAGACATTGCTCCCTTACACCAAATTGTTTTCTGCTCTGTAGGCTTTCTCCCAACCGAGTTATGAAATTTTTCATAAAGCACTGCTTTTTTAGAGAACGCCCCGCCCACCGGGGGTGGGTCTCCCTAATTCGGCACGGCTTACCAGCGCACCTTCACCCAATTTCCCCTATCACAAGGCTATTTTGCAATAAAATTCGAAAGTTCCGCCTTCTTTCCCGCTCATTTCGGTGCGAGTCATGCCCACTGTGAACGGGCTCCGCTTAGCCGATGTGTGTTTGTACTTCTTAGGGAAAATCCCTTCGTAATATGCATGACTCTCTCCCTTTGGTTCCTTAGCTAGCACTGAATTTTGTGGCCGGCACAGTTTCAGACTTCAGCGACAGACGAAGCGCGTTGTAGTAAGAGGTGCAGGTTGATCATTCGATAATGTTGATGTGTTATCCTCTTTCCCATTTATGTGTAAAAACGAGATGTTTCTGACATATTCCTAGGAAGAGCTTACCCCGAAATGTGAAGTATCCTCGCTTTCTTGAAACTCCAAGCATTTGAGCGTTCCAGCTTTTCCTAGTATTACAAGTGATGTGCACAATATGGCCGCTTTGAAAAATATGACCTTTACACTGCTCTGAAATATCACACATAGTACCCATACTCTCCGAGAAAAGATATACGGGTGAATATGAAGACGCAATAAACAATACTGAACCCACGGGATTGAAAGAGGATTTTACGATAAGGTCGAAGGTGAAGAAGGACTCAGCTAGTCAAGGAAGACAGGCAGACCCGAAGGCAGGAAGCGACACCCATTTCTATCGTCCATCTGCGGGCCATAAAATATTTCAGGGAGTGCGACAGTAATGAGGAAACCAACTGCAATGGCTCGGAACCACCGAGGTGGAGTTTTTCCGTTGCCCTTGATTTCGGATGCTGGACAGTGGCTGACATCGTCTACATGAACGCCATTGTTTGCCTCTCTACTGCGCTACATGACAGATGGATAAAGGTCAACAACTGAAACAACCATTTCGGGAAGAGTCTAATGGAAAAAACGGGGTCTAAAAGATGCGGCGTATCCTCGCTATGTGGGGTGTGGTTGACAGAAAGCGATTTTTCGCGTTTCGCGCGCGAAACATTTTTCGCTGCGGGAACTCCAGGTCCACTCATGATCAGCGGTGGACCTGAGGTTCCCTGCAGCGAAAAATGTTTCGCGCTGCGAAACGCGAAAAAGTCGCTTTCTGTCCTAGTGAACCAAACCCGCTATGTCACGTCGAAAGAGCCATCCGCTGTGAAAGATCTTAAGTATCGTTGGTTCGCGTTGGTACCAAACGCTTCTCTCCGATGAGCACTTTATGGAGCGTTTAGAGTTGGCGATCGTACGTCCGATTAGGTGAGTAGGCAAAGGCTATTAGGCGATCGCTCAATGAGCGGAACACCAAACCAGCTAGTCGACACGTAAGCTTTTTCGTTTGAATCATCGCCTGATCGACTAATCGCCTGATAGCACGTACGGTCGCCAACTAAGAACGTTCTATTACTCTGTGAGCCTACCCAAACTGCGCCATCATAAAGGCTTCAAAGAATACGTCGCGATTGACTGATTCGGATTACGCTAAAAGGTTCCATTGTACCAGCATGCCTCGAACCGCAGAGTACTTGGATAAAAGAAATGGGACCAATGCTGTTGAGAAATACGATGGTGCTTTCTAAGGAGGACGCTTCAAATGGAAAGGGTACTTTTTTGAGAAGTTTTCCATTCCACGTACCTGAACGAATTCTCTGACCATCCGCAAAGCAGACGCTGCCTTCGTTTCTTTTCAACGTTCTGTCTAGAGCAGCCAACTGGTTAAATGAAGTAGTGCCGTCTGAGACTCACCCCAATGAACTTCGGAATTGTGTTGTCTAAATGACTTTCTATCTCCTATGATTGACTCTACGATAACTTCATGATATCTCGTGACTACAGGAGACATTTTTCTCAAGGAAAACATTCTGAGCGTCTGCTCTGTTAGCGGTGGAACAGTTTGATCTGGTAAATTTATCACTGAGTAGGGCATGTCCAAGCTAAAGGCTCAACTGTGAAAGTGGCTTAGCACGGCTCTCCAATAAAAAGTAGGCGCCAAGTGACCTACCAACGAAGAACAAGAAAATGAGCAGCAGAAAACGTCTGAACGGTTGCCCACCGTTATGAATTTCTCTTGAACATTGCGCAAACCTGCAGTGAAGAGACACTGGGCGTCAGGACGATGGGGTAGTGAGAGGAAGAGAGGAAGAAAGGTATCAGACAGGAGGCCCATCGCGCGGCAACAAAGCAGTCTAAGCGGACGAGTCGCAGCGCGATTGTAGTGATTTCACGTCAAGTTAGATACGATGACGCGTGATGTGCGATGTAGGACGATACGATGGTGCAATGCATCACTGTACGTCTTATATCGCACACGCCCTGCGACTCGTATACTGACCATGCCTTCTTGCCGTGGCGGCAGGCCTCCTGTCGGTACCCGAGGGGAATACAGACAGAGCGCGTGTAAACGAGTGAGACGCAAGCACTGATATTCCGCTCTGTTCGCAAACGAGGCCAATGGACGCAAGCCTTGGAATAACGGGAGCAACGCTGGACGGCCCGCCGGACAATGGTGAGGAGGGGTGGGGGGCGGCAGAGAAAGGTTCCCCTTCTGGCTCTGGGCTGTTTCTCTCATAGCTTTCTTCATCCTGCCCACCAACTGCACTTCCAATGGGCTGCTTTTCCATGTAAACCTCTCGAGCCAGTATTATAACCATGACAAACCTTCCGTATTTATAAACTCCCTTCTTTAGTACGAGTAGTTTTGTCTGTAATGGTTTAGAAATACTATTGAACCGCGCTCAGGTCCTCTTGTTAGATAGGCCTCTAATAGGTATCTGTAGGATATCTTTCCCTATCCCGATTCAACGCTGAAGGCGGGCACCTGACAGGAGGCCCATCGCGCGGCGAGAAGGCAAAGACGCATATGTTTCAACGACGAGTCGCAGCGCGTATGTGCGATGTGGGACTTGATACAGCATATTCTATTCAATTTGACGCCAAAGTATGCGCTGCACTCGTCCGCTGACCGCTCTGCGTCTCTGCCTTCTCACCGCGCCCGGGCATCCTGTCGGGCCCTCAGGAGGCCCGTCGCGCGGCAAGAAGGCAAAGTCAGCGGACGAGTACTATAGGGATTTCGCGTCAAGTTAAATAGAGTGTCCCACTGCACGTCCTACATCGCACACCACGCGCTGCAACTCGTCCGCCGACTCTGCCTTCTTGCCGCGCGACGGGCCTCCTGGGGGGTACCCCATCCCGTCGGGTACCTGACGACGACTACATTAAAATGCGGTGAAAAATTGGCTCTCTGGTTTAATGTCAACGACGGTTTATTGAAGTAACCGATCTAACTGCTATGGTCAGAAAGTGAATGTCATCGCTAAAAACGTTCAGCGTTACACAATAAAAAGCACAACTAGATCTCGTGAAATAATGCTTGAAGCGAAGTGAACTCAATTAATAGCACAGTAATGTACAAAATTATTCTGATGAAATATTCAAAAATACATAAATAAGCTCAATACAGGATCACGATGCATAAAGTACAGTAATCTAGAAAAATTACCAAATAAACATAATAAAGTTGTGTATAGACCAGTTTTCTTTTGAGAAAAATCGCATTCTTCTTCGATGTCGTTGAAGTTAGCATTTATTCATCGTATTCAGCGACTCCATTGCATCCCTTGCCTCCTTGGCGTTTGCATTGGCAATGGCATTTGCTTCGGCGTCTCGTTGCAACAGTGCGAACATCACTTCGACGGTCTCGTCCAGCCCGTACTCAACATGCCAGCCCCAGTCCTTCTTCGCTCCAGAATCGTCCAACGAACGTGGCCATGAGTCAGCTGAAAAGCTTCTTTCCTAGCTGGCTTTATAGGTTTGAGGAAAAGAAGCAGGCATAACGACGAATATCTTTTAAAGGGTTTAAAAGGCAAGATTCGGGATAAAATAGGTGTGGAAAAGCGTTCAGTTATGAAGCTATAGGTGGGAGGTGGTCTGTAAAAGAGAAGGAAAGCAAACGAAACCACCGATTACGCCCCGTACAGAGACCTCCCCTATTTCAGCCACATTCCACCTTGGGATAGAGAAGAGGCGAATTGGACGAGTTTCACGAACCTAACTCTACTTGCTCCAGTGTCAATAACATTGGATCGCGCTGGGACCACTGCCTCAAATGCGCCCGCGCTTTTAAAGCAACAGTCCAGGGAGGGTTTCAACTAATCCAAAGCTGAGGTGTGGAAGCATGCCCCAGCCCAAGTGAAGTCGAAAGGAACTGTCACTGAAGTAAAAACTCACCTCTGAAATGCGTGAGAAGGGCTCGAAGTTCGTCGAAAAGGGCGGGTCAACCGAGCCTCGGTTGACCCGCCTCCTTGCTGCTGTGAAGAGCGCTTGCTCGAATAGCGGTCGTTGCGGGACCGCCGCGCTGTATCAGGTCGATTCCATGAGAAGCGCAACTGAAGCGCTTCAATTTCGATTGCTGGCAAATAGTTATGTATTTGCAAGCATGCATGGCTATTTGCCAGCAGTTGCAATTGGAGCGCATGTACTACGGGCAGGTTCGGACAACTCGTCCAACACACGTCTCCCTAAACGGCAGGGGGAGTCCCTGTCTAAGCCCCTGCCCGACGTTTTTTTCTACTTTTTCTTTCTCCATTGACCAACTTCTCACCTGCAACGTCATTATAGGTGGTCCTTACCCGCGAATTCGTTCCTGGATTGTTGCTTTAAGCAGGCCACGTGGCAACGACAGCGAGGGTGGGGCTTGCGGACGAAGGTGTGAGTTGCGGGTTGGACGAGCTCCTTGCGCCTTTGTCGCGCACTTTCAAGCCGCAAAAGGGGCCCGACATCAACACTTGTCCACCTGCCTACTACCCCTGGATGGAACAGGCGAGCCCGCCTGATCGCGGAGCGTGCCTTTAAGGATCAGGTCGATCAATTAAAGGAGGATTCCACGATAAGATCGGAAGGTCGAAGAAAGAGAAATTTACCTAGTGGAAAGGAATAACACAAAATTCGCATTGATTGATATACCCGGCAATCTTACATGCCTTTCCCTTTAGCGCAGTTGGCGCGGAACGCCCTCCGATCTAATCACTCGCCGTAGGTCATACGTGGCGAGTGATTAGATAGCAGAGAGAGCGTAGTGTTGAAGAGGGCACAACGATGAGAGTCGCATCAATGCGGAAATCAATGGCGAAGAAGGGGTTCCCATTTCTGACTTCCGGGCCGTTTCACAACTACTCTTCATCATCCTTGGTTCACTAGCCACCTTTACTATAATTTTTAGTGAGCTACCTTTTCCTCCTAAAATCCGCCTTTAATACAGGAATTCACAATGGCATCATAAAACTTCGGATCGCAATTTCATCCAGTTGCTCTGGTTGTTTTAAAGGATAAGTTTATTCATCACAAGTTGTACAGTAACTTGGCGTGGCTGAACGATTTTCAGGTCAGCTTTTTTTTTCTTTTTTTTCTTTCTCCAGATATGTTCACAAGTACTTCACTGACATATGGTGGCCTGGGCGGCTATGAAGACTTTTGTTTATGGAAGAACCCAGGAGCTAAGGGTTCTATTCGCGTTCTCAATTATAAACAATAGAAAAGGTTGTCAGTAGAACACCTGAGGGTTCTGCTTCGCATAATAAGTTCCAGTGACTCAGCCAAAAAAATCGAATGCCTAGATCATTATTGAGAGGACACATCCCAAACGACCGTATGCAGTACTTTGAAAACCTATTTTACAGAAATAGAGAAAAAGTGTAGTCGTAATGATCTGTAAGGATTATTTGCAGGCTTTTGAAAAAATGCTAATTGCCTTGCAACATAGCAGAAGTCGTGCGAACCCGATTCCTCTTCGGTTGTGGGATAGATTCCTAGAGGACAATCACAGATGTGGTACTCCCGTGCATGGAAATCACCGACAAGAGCGCTAGGGCCTTGCAAAGTAAGCTGCAGCAGCTGCAATTTTCAAGCTGTTGTCTGGCGCCCTCTCATCTGTTGCGCTCTCTCGCCTCATACTCTCCTCTCCGCGCTTAGTCTCTCATTCCCTTAGCACAGCCGATTAGGAAGGTGAGCAAGCCCTCAACCTAAGCGTTTTCGACGGATTCTTTTCCTTTTCTTTACTGCCGGCCCATTTCGCACCAACACTAATATTCACCTGCACGAACCGCACCAGATTAATCTTAGGGCATGGCTCCAACTTTTATTTTTCACTAGAACCCATTTTAGCCCACCAAATCATGTTGAAAAAGATAACTGAATGCAAATTCCACAAGATCAGGTAGTGTGCAATGGGGTGCAGCTGAGAAAAAGAATAGTGGCGGGGGGCCTAACAATTAGGAAATACGCAAAAGGAAGAATCGGAGACGTCCTGAGTAAGGCTCCTTTTTCATAGTTGATTAGTGACATTGCTAGGCTTACAACAGTGTATGTCCAGACAATAGGATTTAAGAATGACTTTTATAGAGACGAGCAAGATACAGGAAATCAGTGTTACAACCACCAATTGGTGGAATTTTCAAAGCAGGTGGAGTCAACATTAGCCGAACGTTGCCATTTCTAACAAAGCTATTGGTTCGGCAATGAAATGGATCATTTCGTGAGCACCTTTATGGCTTCTCACGAACTGGACCCACTTCACAACATCATTGGGGTCTGCGTCTTTAACCTAGGAAATACGTTTTGAACTCACCAATAGCTTGTCGCGTTTTACATATCTCGTAGTTGATCTTGAATTGTGGCATAACCTAAACTTTTGAACATCGTGGAAACGCTTCATATTCATTCCCTTTTAGTCATCATACCTTCTTGATAGCGTTGGCAATTTCTTCAGGTGTGAACGAGAAACCGGTCACATTGTACGTTCGACGTCTGAGCGATTCAGATGGAGCCGCAAGGTACTGAACGAGTTTTTATGCAGCAGTGACTACGTGATTCTCGCTTTCATTGTTTAAATTCCGATCTCATGACATAATTGTAGGAAGTAATAACCTGTACAACCGAGGCCATGCAGTCGGTGTCGTACATCATAGGCAGTCTCGTATCTGGGCGAAGATAACATGTGTGGCTTCCTTTTTCAAGCGCATCGTAGAAGATTTGAATGGCGTAGTCTGGTAAGGAAATATGCATTGAAAACGCGAAACGACATGTGCCAAGTAAGAAAGTGTTGGAAACATTTAGAAAAATAAAAGGTGCGTAGCAGGGTGGTCGCGCGGCAAAAGGCAGGGATGCAGAGGCAACCTGACCGAACTGTCATGCCTACTGTACCGGTACGAGCCAAGTCATACTTGACGATTGTTATAGTGAGTTCTATTTAACTTAACGTTAACTACAGTAGACGCTCGTCCGTTAACCTGTCTGCGTCTCTGTCTTGTTGCCGCAAACGTACCGCCTGGTGTGTATCCTCACAAGCAGGGTGAATAACGGTCGAGGAAATCCTCGAGAGCCAGAGTTGGGCCGTGGCCTCCATTCTACTGTAGGGCATCAATGTGCTTCTGTCATTAGCTACTGAATACCCAATACCTGTGTGTTCCACCTCTGGGCTATGGTTGGCTGCAGATGATTTCCCGGGAAGCGAAGACAGACGGAAAATGACTTCCAAAATTTATGATAGGTAATATTCTCCTAGCTCGATTCGATATATACCGTAATAATGAATTCGCCCGCATAAACAGAAATTATCCTTTTGGATCGAAAGTTAATAAACGAACCTGTTGGATACTTCGGCTAAGTGTGGTGGGCTTTGAATGGGTAAGCGTCAGGAACATTGTCACGACGGTGCTCGTTCTGCGTCCAAAGGCACGATCGTCGAAGGATATGAACACCTTCAGAATCGTGCTTTCTAAAGAAGAGCTGTTGCATTCCAGGAAAAGCCACCATGCGGAACACAGTCCAACCAGCTACTTCACTTGAAGGGTAAATGGGCCAGGATTACGATGTGGTAATCCCACACAAATATCAAAATAGGAATGAAGGAAAGAAGTAGATAAAGAAGTAGAAAAATAGGAAAGAAGTGAACCCCAAGGGGAGATAAAAGGAGGAATACGGTCAAAAGCAAAAAGAAAGTATCTCCTGCGCGGCGCGGAGAGGGAAAATAAATTTCGAGTAGAGAGGACATGGCAGGTTGACACCACGACACAGAAAGAGATATAGAACAGGGCAGGAATAGTTCGAGTCGTGCGATCGAAGATATGGAGGATCGGACAGTCTAGAACGTGGCATTGCAGAGATGTGTAAAAGGTTGCGGGAAAGTGCGCGACCTCTGAAGTGGTTGGACCTTGCAGCCCTATCACGTGGGGACTTCCTTCAGGTGAGGCTGAAGCCCCTCTCGCCTCCCCATCACCTTATGAACTCCAGAGTCTAATTTTTACTTGTCGATCAATATGGAGCTGAGTTTATGCCGAATAGGCTTCGCTGCCGCATCGAGTTACAAATCCATGGACTTTTCAGTTTACCGCCGCTAAGCTATATAAAAACAATTCGCTGAGCGCAGCTTCCATGCTTTCGCGTGGCAAGTCGCGCAGCTCATAAACGGCAGAAGAAAGCCTGCATGACACTGCACATATCACTCTAGAACTTTCCCGAGCTCAAAAAGCCAAACTACGCGCAACAAGGAAAGGCTGCCCGGGGTTGCCTCATAACGATACTACCACCTACAGTGGGGAGAACTGTGGGCGGATGTATCACTATGAGGGCCAGTGTAAGTGATCACCTTGCACGATAGGAGAATGATTCACCGAAGTCGGGTTGAAAGCACTAACCATGAGTTGCTGACGGTCCCACCCTCCTCGCCTCGGGCAAATTTAGCAAAATTCGGACACTGTGAAAGAACCGCCAACCTTTCAGAGTGCACCTGCTGTCTCTTGTACCTCACCCCTACCATAGCTTCAATCGTAGCCATTTAATATTTACGATCGCAAACTGAACGATTTCCAACCGCTCCCTTGATCATTGAATTGTGGATTGTGAACAGTTGGGTGGGGCATGGGGTATGTCAGTGTCCCCCCTCCCCCTGTTCTCAGGTCTTTTTCCTGTTGATCCACATGCCACATTCACTCAAACAGACGTCGTATGATTCGCGAGTGGTCAGTCAGTTGATTGATGGTACCGGTTTCTCCACGTGGGCATGACGGCGTCATGCAACTGATTTCTAATCAAATCAACGATTTGCGCTATGGAATCAGAGTGCGAACCGTCGTCACGTTTTCATCCAAACACCGTCAAAACGCATTAACAAACACTGAAACATATTTCATAAACAAGTCAGCGGTTCCCGTCCGGAAGGAGGACTCGTACAAAAAACCGCCATCATTTTTCAGTATCTACAGATCTCACGGAAACGCAGCCAAAAAAGCAGAACTGGAGTTTCTAATCGAATTAGCAACTTGCCAGTGAAAAAGCGTCAAAGTACGAAACACTATGACGTCTCCACCCGGGTTTCATAAGAACGCGGAAACGCAATTTATAAACCTGCCAACTTGATTCTGGGCCAGAGTACGAACACCGTTGACGTGTCCATTAGGATTTCATGAAGAAGTGTCAAAAACTTAAAAAATGATGGAACAATGTTACACCTAAGTTGACGCATACGTAGATACAAAAAGTTACATCTATCCAAACCAGTCCTCAAAGAAAAGGGGACGGAGAAGAACTGAAAAAATGACAGCGTATCAACCGTTCTTCGAGGTACGTCATGCGTTCAACTTAGACCGAAGCTGTGAGGACGTTTGAATACATACTCAGTAAACTAATAACTTAATAAATAAATAAGTAAACAGTTAATAATTGAATAAATAAATACTTGTTCTTTCTAATGACTTTTCGATGCTAAGTGTTCACAAATACCGCTTTTCTTCAGCAGAACGAGGTGCCAATTGAAATAATAATGAATATTATAAGGACAGATGACCTGGCTGGCTCAGATGGGATGAGATCCATAGGGACTAACGGCGCCTTTTCGCACTACTCCACCTCTGCCCAAGAAACCTTCAGCAGCCGGCATTCTAAGCGAGAGACTAATGGAGGGAAAAAAACTGAACTTAAGGGATACCGCCTTAGCCCTGTGGAGAACCTTCTCGAAAATGAATTATTGTAAAAGATAGGCAATATGTAAAGAACATCTTTGTTCAATCGATTCAAGGCGGACGGAAGATTTTGCTGGCTCAGAAGTAATGTGGAGGCATCGAAGTGTCCCTTTAGTAATTACATCATCTTTAATAAAGAACTGTGCCCCAATTCTCGAAGCTAAACAATAATTTACACTCAAATGTAAAACTGGATGATCTAGTAGATAAGCTATTTCTTCACAAACTTCATCCCATAACAAGTAGAGAATGAAGCAAATTTCCGTGCTTTTTAAAACTAGTCTCTGATTTTTTTTAGCATATTCAATGATTTCTCTTGCTTTCTTTTCCAGTTCCAGCTCAATTGCAATTACCCACTACGAACGCTCCCAATAACACATGTCTGCCATTGTTGCTCGGGAGTAGGCTTAAACCCGGGCACTGTCCTCACTTATGTTATTGCCGATTTATGCGCTCGTTCCCTTTCGCCATCCCTCTCCTTTTCTCCCCTCCACGGAAATATCGAAACATACTTGACGATGCACAGAATTTTCCACTCACCAAAGGTCGTACGCATATAATCCTATGTGTTCGAACCCAGAGCTGAAACAACCTTGACATTCCGAAATTGCCTGTGAGGTCAATCGAAAATTCATGGCCACGCCCATTTATGAGGCATAACCAAAAAATTACCCACGTGCGATCGCGAAGGTTACAGTCAGCAACATGTGCTGTTTCCGTTTTGGAAGCTGTAAATTCTTACCAAGAAATATTGTCTACAGTGCTTTTCATGGTAATTTGTTTGTTTCGTTGTTGTGTGCTTTGTGAATGTGACCGCAAGGGTTATTTACGGCCAAAAGTTTAGATCTTGTTGCGCCAATCAAGAATATAGTATGCGCTTGAAAACCTGGCTGGTCCGGAAAATTGGCTCCGGATTTAGTCCTGCGCGCTACGCAGTGGTAGATGTGTTTTATAAGCACTGACCGAGCGCAATTTATATTTAAGCGCCACTCGCGACGCGCGTATTGCGCTAATGGCAGTACAGTCAGCGAGATTTCTGTTAATTGAAAGTGGGGGGAGATTTTCTCTGCCCAGGGCTGGCGTAGATGAATGAGGATATAAAGATTTTTTTCATGGAAGAAAATGTTCCAAATCCATTTGAAACGCGGCATCCAACGGTGGATGCCATTGCCCGAGTGAGGTCTTTGGCAGCCACCGGTGGATGCCATTATCACGATGGGTTGGATAGAAAAGAATTTAAATGTGGGAAAAGGTGAATATTACGAAGTTAGCATATCATAAATTTGGCCAGCAAGGACATGGAAAATACCTAAGACGGAAGCCATCATCGCGCTAGCTTCGTGATGGCGCTGTATACTATGTACGTATTATCAGCCAAAGGACTCGAAATGAGGGCTGAGCTGGGCTTCATGGAAGGTGCGATCGGAAACTAGATGAGAAGCAGCTGCTCGAATTGATATGAACGGCTTGGGTGAAAATCGGACGATAGCGATACGGATCATATCTAGCAGCGCTGCCACAGCAACCTCCATCCACTATAAGGTGGTGCTCGCAAAACGTTAAGGCGCTAATACCCTGAAGTTTCAGCTATCGGCTCATTGGGTAGGTCTCCAACCCAATCCTCTGTAAATTTCCCATGGGTGCATCGGACCACTTCCTTTAGAGATTGTAATCACGAACTGGTGAACAATGCGGTTCTGATGACATCGTTGGAAATCATCACTGTTGAACGGGCGTTGAGACCGTCTCATTCACAACTTCCAAAAAGATGGAAGATTTGAATTCCCCAAAAGGAAGATTTTGAACTTACACATTATTTCAATTGCCTAACACAAATATTAACACAATGTCCGAAAGGAGAGAAGAAGGGCGTAATTCTTACACATGACAAATTCTTTAATGCCAAATGGTCTCTTAAGAGACATCTCATTGACAATCTCATATATTAATGAGCACTACACCTGGCGACTTCAGATGTTCTTCGCACTCCTGACGACGCATTGATTTTTAGGGCTAAATTGACGTTTTGTTCTCCGACAGCACTAAGAAGTGCCGAAAAATGAACGATAGTGTCAATATGCTTGTCGACCACGAGTCGTTCGATACTGTCTTGACTAAGTATATCCAGATAAGAGTAGTTGGCTGAAAAAATAGGTAGTCTCATAAGGATTCCAAATTACGATAACGTCTTATGCAGTGTTTTGAGCGCGGATTTTGAGCACTACTCAAACACCGCTTAATCCATGAATCACGCCCTGAACGCTTGATATGGCTCAGAGCTTTTTCAATTATCTGTCACACGAAACACAGGAACCCGTGAAGCAAAATATGCCGTCCTTCGCATACTCGTCATTCAAAGAATGAGAGAGTGTCGGATGCAGACCATATACCACAAGTGACGGCCTCACAAAATGTAAATGTTTTCTGCCAATGAAATGATTAGCCTGTTGCAGTTGTATTCTATCGATTGTCACTAATTACAACTATCATTTACCAAAAATCAGCTATCACTATGAACAACTTACTAACCAGATTTACTTGGAGGCGTCGTCAGTTGTGGTGTATGGTCTGTATATACGTCTTATTTTTTGAAATGGAGCTTAGCTATTACAAATGTTAAAAAACTGAGAAAAAACACATTTTTGGTGTGAAAAGTTGTTCGTGTGCTTCGAGTTTCCTGGTCGGCACAAACTGAACATGTTATTGTGCTTGATCTGCCACAGCGCGTGTTTTGATGCGCAGTAATATCGCCATTTCATACTGGCGCAGTCGGTGTTTCTCCTATTTACCGTCAACCCGCGCAATTCTCTTATTTTCACAGAGAATTTCGTATCTGTGATGTAATGCACAAATGCAACTAACAGTAATATTGCAGTTCCCCAATAAAAAAGTTCTTTTCACTGAATCTCACTTCCAAAATTGCCTCTCCCCCAAGAGGCAAAGAGACATGTTTTCTGGTCAATGTCATTTAAAAAAATCCACTTACATATATCTGTTGCGTGACGTGGAGCTTTGATAATGTCGGTCATTACAACACAACCATCTCCGTACATATACCTGAATGGTCCTCGTTTTTACTACCTCGTTTTTACTAAAACCGTGACAACATTTTTAATTCCATTTGGGCGCAATGTGCCTCCGGGGGGGGGGCAGTCTGTCGGAAGGCCACTAGGACTAAGCCTAACGCAGAGGGACGAATTCCGGAGCGAATGAAAATTGCTTACGCAGCTCGGATTCCCTCTTCTCCTCCAAAGCTTAGTCCCAAAACTGAGCAAATCCGTGAATCTGACGCCAATTTCCCGGCTGCCCCCCCCGGAGCCACATTGGGCCCCTATTTGTTATAAAGGTGAATTGATTGGTCAATCTGCGCGCAGCGCTACTATCAGTAGAAACGCGTGGGCTTCGGCAAAACAAGCCATGCGAATATCACCAAAATATGACCGTTGTAAACACCAAATCGATACAATGACAGAGGGAGTGGTGGTGGTTGGTGAGATAAGACGATTACGATAAATCACCGGAGTCGTACTTCTATTTCGGAAGACGAGAAGAGCGTCGAGTGCAGACCACACACCACAAGTGACGACGGCCAAAAAAAGTGGCTTTTTCTTTTTTTCTTGGCCGTCGTCACTTGTGGTGTGTGGTCTGCACTCGACGCTCTTCTCGTTTCCGAAATGGAGGGTACGACCAACCGTTTTTCCAACACCGCACCTAGTGGTAAATAATTGGTACTCTGCTCTCGTTCACAACGGTCCCATTTCTACACTCCAAGGCTACTTTTGTAAAGGCCTCTGTCCAGAGCTCTGAATGATAGATGGCACTATACGCTCTTGCTGTTGATGGTGCTAGCAGTACACACGACTTGAAGTATGCTCCTACTTCAGTGCTATTTACGGCCTCTTCTGTATTTTATCATTAAATCTTACTATTTCAATAAAGTTGCAAAAGTCTAATCTTACTTGTACACGGTGTTTAGTCCGCGACCAAGTTGACCAAGTGCTCCAGTGATCAGCACTCGGTGCCTTTCGTTTGACGCCTTTGCGAGCGCTTTGAATCTCGCCAAAGGGTCGGCCTTAAATGTTATGTTGTGCATCGTGGGAACACCGAACAATATACAGAACTTATCTAAA